ACCATGAGTACACCAATCTTATCACCAGAATACTTGGCTTTACTATGAACAAGAAGAACCCAAGCCCATGGAGTTTAACACTAACAGAGAACTGGAAGTGTATCAGGAATTTCTAGTGATTCCAGAGAACCACCTGAAAGTTGGATCTGGTTGAGAAAAGAGCAACTTGAAGCTTTGAGTTGTTTGCGTGAGCGTGTTATTTTCCATGCTGATTACGGGACTGGGAAGACGCTTTTACTGAAGGTAAGAAATTACATTTATATTAATCTAATAGATTATAACATTAAGGTATGAAATGAAAAATAAGTGTTATTTAATATTGGGATTATAAATTAGTTGTAGAATATTAATGTTGTTTTGCAGAAAAAAAGATAATTCTATATTTAGAGAAAAGCCCTGGAGTTAAGTGAAAAGGCTGCCAATCAAGGAAATACAAATATTTGAATACATTGATTGAACTCCAATACATATTATGATAGGCTGACTAGTGACCACCAGGGGTGGATACAGGAGTGAGCCATAGAGCGACTGTTCACCCCTGAAAATTGTTCAATCCTAAAGCTTTAGGGATGATCGCTACGGAAAATAGAGAGAAAGTCTAAAATTCCAAATTACGTAGCAATTTCAATAGAGGAAGTTATGTATTTTTCATATTCATTCATAGTTCATTTTCCTTGTGTTTGGTTACTCACAATGATAAGGCTGTACTGAAGACATGGAACTCTGTTAATACCATGGATAAAGGTTAATTTGATCAATTAGAATAAATAAAAATAAAAATGTCTTTCTGAAGAATAAAGCGAAAAAATATCATTACCTCCTTTATTAGTCTAAACTATACAAATCTAGTCATTTTAAAATTATAACTTTTTGTTTTGTAAAAGATTAGATTAGAATAATGAGTATTTAAGCAAAAGAAAATATTTGTTGCAGAAATAAGGGATTTTAGTCGCAAGGTTCTTTTCATCTCCCTAGCAGCAGCAGCAGCAGCAGCAGATGAATATAAAAAAGAGATTAAAATTGAAGAAAAATGGAGAAATGAGACAATATTAGATCTCTGCAATAAACTTGATTTTAAAAAACAAGTGAAAAAAAAAACAATGAAGGTAGGTAGGGGACAACCTTTGATTAGAAGTTTTGTCCTAAAGGCTAAAATTTCACCCATGCCACATGATACAATGAGCCACAGTTTGTCCTACTAAAATTAGATATGAACTTAAAGCTGAGACTTAAAGGTACTATTGGCGTAATTTCCTCTGAGCCTCTGTTTAAAGAATTACTTCACAATGATTCACAATGGTACTCTCAAAACCTTTATTGTTAGTAAGAATCAGGAAGATTTATATTTTCTTTATGGTCTCTTCTGCAAAAAACATTAACTCACTTTTTTAGAGAATCATAATTTAAAATTATTAATTTCCGGAGAGAAAAACAAGAATATCTCCATCAATTTTACAAAATGTTTCAGTTGTAAATCAGGCATGAAACTCCTGTAATGGAAGGTCACATGAAATTAAAAGAACATTCCCTTTAATGAATTTTTATTGATGCATATTTTTATAATGCCTTGTTACTTGAGGTGTGTGGATTGAGTGATCTGGTAGAAGAGTATGAAAAATCAGGAAAGAGAGTAACAGAAGGGCAAGTTGATTATTTTTATAGTCATAGAAGATAATAATTATATCTTTGATAATAAAGCAATAATCTTAATTTAAGGTAAATACAGGGCGTCAAAAATAAACGCTTTTCAAGGTACAAAAGCTCTCATTATGATTAAATTTTGACATTTTTGGACAATTTCAAAATCAACGTACTATTTCCGACCAATGGACATTAATTAGAGGCTGGGAAAAATTCATATAAAGATTATAGGAAAAGTAAAAAAAAACATTTTTTTATTTTAAAATGTAAAAATAAGAGATACCTTATTTTGGTTTAAACGAATTATACTGGTCCTTCTTATTATTTCGTTAAAGGAACTGAGTTTTTATCACAAACTCTGATTTTTGAATCTCTATATCTGTGCAACCCGATGTCGTAGACCCTTAATATTTCAATCTATAAATTCTGTTAGATCAAAGTGTCTTAATTTAAAATATCAAAGGTTTACACCATTTGGTTGCAAAAATGTAGGCATTAGAAATTTTGACTTTTTAGCAAAAACTCTGTTCATTTGTTTAATTCCCTAAATTCTGGTGGATTTTAATCTTTTAAAAGAATTTTCCTATTTTGAGACCCTAATGAAATCACAAAATATGTTAAAAAAACAAATATAATAAATTTATGAACTCAACTAAGCCAAAGTTCTGATCGTAATTTATACTTCTTTAATTCTAGTGTTACAAATCTCTATGTTGTCTCTCAGAAATGTAAAATAAAACCATGTATTAGCTGTAGTTCCAGAAAGGGACTGTGAGCAAAATGTGAAGTGACATTCCAATTTCCATGTAAAGGGGACTGATGTACATCAGTATCCTGTAAACCAGGGGGTAGAGAACTCAATGTGTTTATCACTGAGTTATAGCCACAAACTCTATTTTAAAAATCCATATATCTTTTCAACCTGGCGGTGTAAACCTTTTATATTTTAAACTCAGACTACTTGATCTAGCAGAGTTTATAGTTTGAAATATCAAAGCAGGTCACGACACCGGGTTGCAATGATATAGCGATTAAAAAATCAGGGTTTGTGGCAAGAACTCAGTTCCTTTCCGGGAAACTGACTTTCTGCGATTTAATTAATATTTTTAAAATCTAAACAGCGTTTCTGTAGTCAGTCATCCTTGATCAGTCATCCTTGATCAGTCATCCTTGATCAGTCATCCTTGATCAGCTATTTCTTAATCAGTCAAATGTTAAAAGGGTACTGTTGTGAATCGGAAATGAAAAGGGGGAAAAAATAACATTTGGAAGATATAATACTCAAACTAAATTTATCTTAGAGAAAAATAAACAAATAACTTACATTAATAAAACCTAATTGTAGATTAACTTGGACTGAGTTGGTCTCCTTTATTCTGTGTAAGGAGGAGTACAAAGATCATCATGTGTTCATCGACGAGATTCCATTTTATAAATCAGGTATAAGAATTTGTTTTCAATCTCTAATGTTTACATGTTGGGAAACCTTAGTGACAAAATTGAATATTTAGGTATTGAGAAGATTGCTGAGTCTGCAGATCCTGACAAAAATGGTAAATCATAAAGTTAAAATTAATCAGAGATTGAATTACAATCAGCTTGTTTTACTGTTTTCTTCACGTTTGCCATTATTTACTTTAAATGAACTGTCAAAGTATAAATTGTAAAGAATTTAAAAGAGTTGCATGTCCGATTCACAAGAGTACACTTTAAACTTGTCATATCATTGACGGCGGAGAATTCGGGATTTTTCTTACTAATTAATTGTATGTAACTTATACTGGAAAATTGGAGTTAACAGGTTTCAATAATTACAAGGATATCTCCATCAACCTTGATCAATCAAAGGTTTAAGGGTACTTATGTGAATTGGAAATGCCACTTGGTGTAAATGGAGGGTTACTTGAAAATACGCCTCAGGCCTTTATACAATCTGAGTCCGAATTTAATGAATTTGAGCCACGTCTCAAATCCGCCAAAAACCTGTTTCAATTTAGCGCCGGCTTAAATCTTGAAACATTGAATACAATTTTAAGTGGAACCAACCATATTTGAGCTGCGTCTAAAATTTAAGCCACGGCTCAAATTCTTTAAATTCAGCCTCAGTTGTGTTTTCTTAACTTAAAATCTTTCAATCCATAATTATAATATAAAGATTTTGTGAAAGGACAAACTAAGTTTTTTATACAATGATAACCAGAAAACAATGGATTAAGTTTTAACTTTAAATAGTCTGCAATGCAAACAAGAGACACACAATTGTGCAGTGTAAACAAACCCATTTCACTTAATAAGTGATTTAACAACTTACAAGTAAAGCTATTTGCTTTGTAACACATCAAATGCACTTCAATATTGCTTAATGTCGTCTTCCTAGTCTACAGTTTTCTGGTAATCACTATTTTAGTGTATTGCATACTCCTTCCACTAGTTTCTTTGAACTACGGCAAATCTGGAACGATTTATTTTTATTTTAAATTCTGCAAATTATATTTTTCATTCAAATTGCCCTTTTAACTTTTTTTTAGCAAAACTAACCAAAAACAACTTTTAAAATGGAGTTTAAATAATCCCATATTTACTAATTTTACAGAGAAAAGAAAAACCAAATATTGAATAAAAAGATAATAATTTCAACAAAACAACAACAATAANTTGATAAAAATGTTGAGATCCTTTTAACAGGCATGTGTAAAGGTTTCTGTCATAAAAAAGTTTTTAAAAGTTTAATGGTATAAATGGATGCAGCGAGAACCTGAGAAATTCAAAGAATGTTATAGAGTTTACCAAGGAACATCGTGGCCGGTATATATTTATTATATGTATGAATTCAAAGTTCCAATGCGCTAAATTTTGAAAAAAAAATCATGTGCACTTTCGCTAATGCATAGCATGAAACTGTGCTATAATTGCACAAGGGAAGCAATTTGAACTTTGCGCTATTACGTGGGTTGCACAATATAGATTAGGGGTGAGAAATTTTCCTGAACATATTTTGCAGAAGCAAAATAGTATTCCACTTGGAATTCTAATCCATGCTTAAATAATACATAGTTAACACAATTAAAAAATGGGCCCTCAAAGACCTTAAATGGGATTTAATGATAAAACTTAAGAAAAAGTCAGTACAGGAAGTGAAAGTGAAATTTTTTTAAATCTTATCAATATGGGTAATGGGTAATGGGTATACATGGAACCGGCTGGAAAACCAGAGTTAAAACATTTCACAGAATTGAAAAATATTGAAAATTGAGTAAGACTAAGTAATGGTCAAAAATCGTTTTTTCTCTAACAAATTTCATCAATTACTCTAAAAAAGTGTTTTTTTCGACCTAACTTGGTCAAATTTCAATATTTTTCAAATAATTGATTTGAATTTGGATATTCAACACAATTCCAATGATAAGTTTTTCAAAATTTTTATTTTCTCTATATTGCAATTTTTTCACATATTTTTATTATTAAACCCCATTTGAGACTGCCATTTTTAAAATTTGTTAAAAATGCATTTACTAAACATGGCTTAGTATATTTACTCGTAGAATACTTTTCATGTTCTGTAAAATAGTTTCAGAAAATTGTCACACCCTTAATATAGATACAGGCAATTACTTTAAAAGTAGAAGAACATATGTTTCTTTGAATGTACACTGTACACTGTACATGGTGATTCTATATGAATGCTACATACATTTCCGTCCTTTGGCAGTTTTTTTTGAAGAGGCTTACACGGATTGATGGTTGATTTTTTATTTATTTTTACAAATTTTATTTTATATTTACTTAAATTGTATTTAATAAAAATGCGCCAATTTTGGTCTGCAAATCTGGAAAGTTGATTAGTTTGAGTGCACATTTAATGGTTGAATAAAATGGCTCTGGTTAGAGTAAAACTGTCATATCATGAAGTTAAAACCACTCAACCTGGTACAAATGGAGAACTTTTAATTTTTGTGGAAAAGTTTGCTGCTTTCTTTGAGCAGAAATCCGAAAGTGTTGTTAGTCACTTGAGAGAGCGTTCCAGAAAGCCTTGTTTTAAAATTGAGCCTGTTTTGAGTTATTTTTTTTTTGCTCAAAACATGAATGTCTCAATCTAGACTAATTGAAAATATCTCATTTTCCATCAGTTTTGGCCAATTCCTCTTATTTTAATAAATCAAAAAAAACATTTGCATAGAATCACCATTGTTTCTTAATGAGAGATACTCTTCAAGACACGTAATTAAGAATATAAAGAAAAATATATTTTTTTTAGTTATGAAGACGTATATGGAACCCCTGAAAAGGCTGATGGACCCAACCTTCACCCTGTCATAGGAAATTTTTCCAATTTCTCAATAAACAAATCATTACCACTGATCCTGTCAATAAGAAATAACCCAGTATAGGAGAATGACCTGGAATTGATTTTATTTATTCCAATTAACTCAATCATGGGAATATAATTTAACCAACCTGTTTCATTGACAACTGAAGTTTGCATTTAGAACAAAAATTTTATTAGTGCAGAATAATATCTGTGCTTGTACAATTATTTAAATTATACCCTTTATATACACTACAGGGCCTTTAACTCTATCAGGCCCCAAAGTTAAGTGAAAACTATGAAAGAACATTTTGAAAACGTTGAAGCGCCTTTTGGACATCCCAGGCTCTAAAGCAAAATTAAGCCTAATCATTTGACTTGTTTATTAATAAGTATAAAAAAAGAAAAAAAAACAATAAAAATATCGAAAGTCAGAAAAATGTAAAATCATGGTCAGGACCCCAGCCAGAATATATCGAATGCAACAAAGAAAACATTCATGATATTCTGAGGTAATTCAAACTATGTTTATTGTGTATCATTTACTGAATATCGCTTTGTAACATTTTGCCTTGTTCAGGTTTGCCAAGTTATTTCGTCTTGTAAAATATTTGGTAACATTTTGTGTAACAGTTCCTGCACAATTTTTGCCTTGAATCAGCTTGATTTTTATCTTTGAGTTCCAATAATGAATTAATAACAAAGAGTGTAACAAATTAATATAGTATGACTTATTAATTTAAAAAATTACGAAGATATTAAACCTTCAAACTATTTTTTGATGAATTGGAATTTAGACAAACTAGACTATCAGGGCGATTCGTAAAATGACTTTGTAATGCTGATCTTATCCAGCTACAGAGTGTCCCAAAAGAACATAAAAGTTGAAGTGAATAGTTTTGAATGTCTTCGTCCATATACTGGATTAGCTATTAAATACACTTTTTTTTGCAGATTATTTCGTTTGTAAAATCTTTTAATTAAATATTATTATAATTATTATAAAGATTTATTCACACACAAAGATATGAATACATATATAAATGGTGTAGTTTAAATTTGTTTAAATAAACTTTTGAAAATACTGGTTTCCAAAAGAGAAAAATATGCAAAATTATGCACAAATAGACAACATTGATCATTACTCATTACATAACATACTTATCATTTCAGTTATCACATAATCATCGAATCCTTCAACATATAAATTATTCATTCTTGTATTTTACTTTAATATTAATTTCACTATAATATTTGGTATCAAACAACTTTACAAATTATGGAAGAAGACATTTAAAAGTGTCATGTATATTCGTTATTCATTGTCTCCATGATTTCATTGATTTTTTCCAAGTAACATGTTATTAGGCAAAATATTACAAGTGCCGGCTGAGCCCATAAGGCATTATGCATGGGTGCCACCGTTTTTTTTTTGTGCCACATAGATACTTATGATATTCAATGGCCAGAACTGTTTCCCCTGTAAGCATCTTTTTTTAACATAATTTTAAAAAATGTTTTCTTTTTTCTTTTGTTTATTTAGAAATAGCTCTAAAGATTTTGTATTTAAGGAATTGAGTCTTTGCCACAAACTTTTTTCCAATCACTATATCTTTGCAACCTTTGATATTTAAAACTTAGATTGTTTGAAATATTTAAGGTCTTCGACATTTGGTTGCAAAGATATAGGAATGAGAAAATCAGAGTTTGTGGCAAAGACTCAATTCTGTTGCCCAAGGACGAGATTCTATTTATTTATAGAATAGTGATAAGTACTTAAACTAGGAGACATAGTCAAATCACTTTTCTTGTTCGCTTGTTCTTAAGTAAAAAATTAGTGGTTCAACTATATTTACGCAGTTCAACTACTAAATTCATTAGATTTCTTTCAGAGATAAATATCGGTTATAATAGGTAAAATTTTACTGTTTAATTGTCATCACTGAATTTATTTTAATTTAGAACAACGTTGGAGAAAAATTACCCTGATAAGGAGGAACCTGTTGTGATTCTCATTAATAGATATGCTAAGAATTTTAGCACTGTCTTTGCTGATTTGAAAAGAAAGATGATGAGTGGAGATCCTGAAAACCAAAGGTTTGACCTTTAAAAAGCTTGGGGGTTTTGGTATATATACAGTTCGCCTCATCCCTGTAATAGGATAGTTGTCCTATGTATGTTAGTTGGTTGTAGCCCAATTTTAATGCAAAAGCCATCAAAATCCAAAAACGTTTTAGGTGCAGGTGCTGTAGAGGTCTCAAAGAGTTAAAAATGTACGTCGTAGAAATATTGGCAATATTTTTTCTTCATTTTTACCAAAAACACAGAATATTTGAACCGCAGTGCTCGACCCCCTTACCTGTCCTATGTACAGCGCTCAGTTAAGAAACTATCTTTAAATATGTCTTATCCCAAAATATGTGCAATACACATTACAATAAATATAAGGTAAAGTTGCAGGGATGAGCACAAGCTTGAGCCTAAATATCTTTGGCTATTAAATTACTGCAAGAAATAACAAAAATTATTAAACTTATTTTTAATTTAGGAATATGATCCAGTACTCTATATTTACAAGTGTGACAAGCGACCAGAGAATGGAGCAAAGAGACACCCTTAAAAAATACTTACAACAACCGAAGGTATAGGAATTATAAATATAAACTATGTGACATAATCAAAATATTTTAGTAACACCTTGTATTTGTTGACAGGGTGTTCTGGTCACTGACATCGATACATTTGCCGGAATGCAGGTACAGAATAAATAAATAAATTCTTATAATGAACAGATGAATGAACATATTCAATTTCCTAACATTTTACTTCATCCATCATCCATGTTACATTTTATTAATCTGATTTCTTACAATCCAAGTTGGATTCTATTTCTATTCCATATTCTTAGGTACCCACAGCGATAACCAGGCTTTTTTCAAACTCAAAATTTTCAAAATTCTATTCGTAATACTCATGTAAATGTCATATAAACGTGAATGGGCAATATTTAAATTTTAGATTTAATTCACTGTGAACATAACTTAATTTATATAATTAACACTGTTAAGGCAAGGAATATCATTGTGTTCGATACTGACACCTTTATTTATCCAAGAAGAAACATGTTACTTAGGAAAATTTAATCAACTTTTAAAAAAAAGTTTCTGTAGAAAGTTACTTCAACAAATACCTCTTTATAAATTATAATGTATTAAAAAGATGATTAAAATGTATTTAGAGCAACAACATCACTGGTCTATATTAAGTATTGGTAAGTATCACTGCCAGGGGCGTGTACACTGTACAGGGGAGCTTTGAGGGCTAACCCCAGCCCCCTCTCCTCTGAAGAAGTGAAACTAAATTTTTCAGGGGGGTTCAGCCCTTTATTGGTACTGAGTCCCCCTCCCCTTCTGGAATGTTAAAAAAGTATTTGGCCACCCCCTGGACAGTTCCTGTATACGCCCCTGCACTATATTTGTTTGAATAATTTTAACGATTTCAATAATTTTTTTTCACACCAAATTAAAACTGCCATTTTAAAATTTTCTTTTGAAACTTCCCCAACTCCGTTAACTAAGTCTCAAGACAGAGGGCTCAAGGCGTATATCTTAATTATAAAATGAATATGCAGGAACTTATGGTGGGATAGAAGAAAGGAAGGTTAGAGGAGACACCATATCCTTACCCCAATTCTCCAGTGTAAAAGAAAGCCCAAGTAATATTTAAGAAAACGAAGAACTTGAACCCTAAGAAATCCAACCAGAATATGAGAGATATCCTACAATACCTACCCTCGATTAACCTGAGCTTAAAACAAAGAGCACATCAATAGAATAATGAAGCTCACAATATCTGGTGACCGCCAAAAAAGTCCTTGGAAAAAAAGTTTCCGGAAAAAAAGTCCTAAAATTTCACACTAAAAAAGTCCTGTGGAAAAAAAGTCCTTTTATTAAAAAGTCTTTGGAAAAAAAGTCCTCTAACAAGTGAAAATACATGATTCACAATTCTAGGTTTTTCTTTTCCTCGGATTTATTTTCTTCAGGACTTTTTTTCCTGAGACTTTATTGGCAGCCTTCATACTATTTTAGGAAAAAAGGCTTTATTTCCAATGACTTTTTTTCCAAGGACTTGAGAAAATTCGGACTTTTTTCCAAAGTTTTTATTTCCATGTTTTTTTTTACAGAAACTTTTTTTCCCAGGACTTTCTTACATAGATTCTGATGTCTAAAGATGGTCAATATTTATTATTTAATCTCAAAGAGGCAAAAATCACAATCTTCTCAATCTGTTCAAACTAATGCAACACATTTTATTTTAATTAAATAGATGCTTGAAAAAGGATCACTGAGCAGTACACATTATGGATTTATAATACAAAGGAAAAATTAACTTAACTTCAAATTAATTGTTATTTCTGATACAAAAGAGAAACTATTCTTGTTCTTTTGAAACCAATTTGTGTTTTTTGTCAATGATAACGCGACTAAACTGAAATGATATAATTGCTGCAAACTACAATAAACCTTCATGATCCATAGTTAAGATAAAACCAAATGTTTAAGTCTGAAAAATAATTATTTCCAGTAAATTATCCATATAGAGACCCAAACCACATGTAATGTTACTTCTTTTCTCTCTTTGTTAATTCTACAAGAATTGAACACTGAAAAATGAAAATTGTCATTGATTAAAAAATTAAATTGTACATTGTACAACATGTTACAATACCTGTTATGTATTGTATATATTATACACTCTAAATAATGATACAAGGCTAATGGTTACCCACAAAGGATGGGACTTAATACGAAGACCTAAAATTTGAAGGTTTAATTTCAGTTTCTGACTAAACACCTGAATAAATTCCAAACGGTCGTCTCTGAAGTTTCCTCCTTTGTGGGTAACCCTGTAAAATATACTAAACGGTAGTAAGGTTTTAAAAACGACAAACCATTCTTTCCAGTGAATAAATATTTTTTCCTAAATTTGTTATTTTAAATTATCTTATCTATTAAATCAAAGGTTTGATATTGTTTGATATTATTACTATTTAACAAAATTAAATGTTTTTCTTCAAAGATCCACCCCCTCTAAAAGGGAGTGACCGGCTAAGGTAGTTGAACTGAGGACGCACTGTTGTGGAAAATTCTTTAGGATTCATTTGAGACATATTTCACTTTTTAAAAGTCTGTAAATCCTGAGTTTGAGCGCAAATTCGACGTTCAAAACTCCTGATTTGGGGGTGGATACGCTTTGAGAATTATTCTTTTTTTAAATTTTTAAATAACGACAACGAAAAATAAATTAAAAATTATACAGTAATCTAATTAGATGGCTAGGAACATATTTCACAAAAGAAATTTGTCAATAAATCAATGCTAAAATCGATTATTTCGTTTTCATTATTATATTGAATTCCTAATTTTCTTTGAATCTATTCGCAGATTTTTTTCAAATTCTTCAAATGTCGTCTTTTTGATAATAATTATAGAAAATCTGCGAACATCTTTGTGAATAATGAGAAACCAGAATAATGAGATAATAGAAACAAATAATTGAACAAGATTACTTATTTTCGATGATAAGATTAATTTTTATTCTCTCAAAATGTTCCTAAACATGTCGTCGTTATTTAATAATTTAAAAAAAACTAATTCTGAAAACGTATCCACCCCCAAAGTATGAGTTTTGAACGTCGAATTTGCGCTCAAACTCAGGATTTACAAATCTTTAAAAAGTGTAATATGTCTCAAATGAATCCGAAAGAAGTTTTCGACAACAATGCATACTCAGTTCAACTACCTTACATAGCCGATCCCTCCCTTTAAAGAGTACTATTGTGAATCCGACATGAAGATCTGTTAAATGGGAATCACTTGAATTTATGTCTAAAGTTCCTTTTATTTTTGAGAGCTAGAGAGAAATCATACAATGTATAATGTTTAAAATCAAATGATATTTTTTTACATTTTCTCAAATAAAAGTTAATCTGTAAAAATGGGTTAAATTCCATTTTAATGAGGTTTGATTTTTTATTCATCAGAACCACTTTTTTTTCTGTGAAATAGTTACTTAGTTTATTTTAAAAAACCCGCTGAAAGGTATTATTATTCCGAGCCTCAGGAAGATATTTGAGCGGTAAGACAGAGTTAGTTGTATTCCCAATCCCAAAAATTGGAAAAATGTTAAAATTTTTCAAAAGGTGAAAAATCCCTTTGAATTCGGAAGAAAAAGTTATGTAAAATGTGTCGAATGTGTCAAGAGTGTTTCTTTCGATTCACAATGGTGCCCTTTAGATCAGTATCCCTCCGGTGGAGGAATTAGTGCCCAGGGTGATTTACATCATCCCTCCGGTGGAGTAATTAGTGCTCAGGATGATTTACATCATCCCTCCGGTGGAGTAATTAGTGCCCAGGGTGATTTACATCATCCCTCCTGTGGAGTAATTAGTGCCCAGGGTGATTTACATCATCCCTCCGGTGGAGTAATTAGTGCCCAGGGTGATTTACATCATCCCTCCTGTGGAGTAATTAGTGCCCAGGGTGATTTACATCAT